CCCATCCTCCCATTGTGGGCACTGACCAACCTCTCACACCAAACCTAGCCCGTCGACCCATCCCTCCGGGTCCTGCCTTTCCCCCCATCCTCCCATTGTGGGCACTGACCAACCTCCCATCCCAAGCCTAGCCCCTCCCCCCCTCCCCACCTTCCCATTGTGGACCCTGCCCTTCCCACCACCACCCCGGCCTCCCCCGCCAAGTTCAGCCCCTCTGCCCCCCACCTTCCTTCCATCCTAGGGGTGGCCTCCGCCCCTCCCCCTCTCCGCTTCCCGTTCTCCCATCCCAGCCCAGGCACCTCCTGAGTCAGCAGGAGCCCCACGCGTGGCCCCTCGGGCCGGGTCGCAGGAAGCCCCGACCCCGCGCTCACCTCGGCCCCGCCCCAGGTGCAGCTCCGGCGGGGTGGCCGGAGCCGGGGCCCCTCCGCAGGGGCAGACGGCGGAGCGCGCTCGCCGAGATGCTGCACACCCGCGCAGCCATGTTCGGCGGCAGCAGCAGCAGAAGCGCGAGGGAAACCCAACAACAGGAGGGGAGGGACGGCGGCCCCGCCCAGGGGGCGGGGTCTGGCGTGGGCGTGGCGGGCTGAGTGACACCCCGTCCGGCCCCGCCCCTCACCACACTGCCTCCAGCGGCTGCCACCGTAGTCCCAGGACCCAAATCCCGGCAGGGAGTCCTGGGCACACAACCCCCTAGGATATCCCAGACGAGGTGGTCAGCCCGCCTCTGCCTGCAACTCCCGGGGGAGGCGGGGAGCCCTGGATCACGCCTTGATTTGTAGTTTGGGGTGATTTCCGGGGTGTAAATGCTCACTCTGAACTTCAGGATGGCTCTCATCATTAAGAAGTTTTTGCTGGCCCTAACATCCGGCCTGAAATCTGCCTCGTGGCCCCTTCTCGCCATCCCGTCTACTTCTGCTCTCTAAGTTAAGGAGAGCAAATCTACCATTCCTCTCCCAAGACAACGGTGCTACCCATGTTGGAAGACAGCTGTCGTGTGATATGATCGGGAAGCCACCCGACCATCCAGAGCGGGATTCAAATTCTAGGCATAGACCGCAAAGACAACTCGGAAGTCACTCGGTCCTACTTCCTCATTTCCTCAACTCCTCTACTTATAGGCCACCGACTCCCTCTGAGCAGCCAGGCCCTCTGATGGTTAGGAAGTTAGATCTAGCCAAAATATAGTCCCTGTGTGGAAGTACATTTTAATGGCAATCCCCCCCCCCCCCCAGTTTCTCTGTATAAATTCAGAATCATTTTTCTCTAAAGACCTTTTCAGGCTCCTGGCCAGCCATCTCTTCATTTCCTGCCCCAATGTACTCCTCTGTACCTCTCCATCACATCCTCTCCCCACCCCAAGATAATGACCCAACTAAGGGTGATTTCCTGGCTCTATCGTGCTGAAAGGATCAGACTAGAGGCTACTCCACGTAAAGTATCCTCTTCCTTTCAATGAGAGTCACTGGAACTGTTTTCTATTCTATATATAGCTGGGCCATCTCCAGTCACCTTGACTTTTGTCTTGCTACTGGACTCTGATGACCCTGGAGGAGAGAGTGAGCCTGGTGACTTTGCACAGCTCTGCCTCACTCAAATCCAATTCACTTGCAAGTCCAGACATCACCTTCCTAATGTCATCAGTCCTCTTAGAGAACAAAGGATGAACAACAGTTCTATGTATAGATCTGTGAGGGGAACTCCATTGATTCCTCTAGGAGAAGAGTGCAGGAAGAAGGGGGTAGAAATAGAGTTGCTCAGTTCTGGGCAGGGGTTGTTCCAGATTCTTGTAGATATTACCTGGAACCTTCCTGGAGCAGACAGTCCAGCTGGAAGGCATGAGGGATTAGGCCAAACTTTCCAAGCTAGAGATGGCTTGAATATTAATCCGATATTAAGTGACATAGAACTTTCTGGCAGACTTGAGTCTAGGTCACAGAGTACTGGATTAGTATGAATTTTTTTTCTTCAACAGTTTAATGGTGGTATTTCAGGCTCAAATGTCTAAGTCTCATAGAAATCAGCATCAAGCCCACCATGGCTCACCAAATACTAGAAGCAAGGGACCTTTTCAACCTTTATGAGGAGAATTTGGGAAGATAGTTGCCCCAGCCTTGCTGACTTCTGATTACTCTCACAGAATCTGACTGAGAGGAAGGCCAGTGTGTCAGACACAGGAAGGGAGTGTTTGTGTATGTCTATTCATGTTTGTGTCAGTGGCCACCTCACCTTCTGTGTTAAAATGGGTAGAGTTTCTATTATGCTAGTTGGAACCCTTCTTTCAACAACTATCTGCTCTGGGATGAAACCATTTTTAGCTGCCAAATTCCTCAAGTATGTCTGCTAACAAAGGAGATTATACCCAACCCCATAGTTGAACCCAGGTGACAGGTAAACTTTGCTTACCATCTTCTGGGTAAGCAGATCTAGTGGCAGGTTACCCAGTCTATGAGTAGGGGACAGCTAGATGATGAAATGGGTAGAGTACCAGATGTGAAGTCAGGAAGACTCACCTTCCTGAGTTCAAATCTGATCTCAGACACTTACTATCTGTGTGATCCTGGGTAAGTCACTTAACCCTGTTTGTCTCAGTTTTGTCATCTGTAAAATGAGCTATAGAAGGAAATGCCAAACCACTCTAGTATCTTTGCTAAGAAACCCTCAAATGGGGCCATGAAGAGTTGGACACAACCGAAAAAAATGAACAACTATGAGAAGAAGCCTAACTGCTCTCAACTGCCCTGGGAATTTCACAAATCCTACAGCTCTCAGTTCAAAGATTCCCAGCTCACTAAGTGAAGTTTGGTATTTTTCACTGTTTTGTGGTGTTTCCATTTCTGTCAGTCTGTTCAGTGTTTAAAGATATGTAAAGTCCTAAGGAAGAGCCTGTTCTTAAAATCAGCATAATTCTCCACTTTACTATGGAGTGTGTGAACACAAGGTCACAAGAATTCCCACCAGGAATGCTTGACCTTGACATTGACTCAGGACCTTGCTGGTCATTTTGAAATGCTTGTCCAAAACCGGTCAACAGACCCTCCTGTCTGAGAGTGGCTACTGATGTCAATGTCAGCACATCTTCAGGTTATGAGAAATGATGCTGGAGATACATCTGAGGCAGCTAAGTGGCTGTGTGCCTGAAGTCAGGAAGGCCCAAATTCAAATCCAGCCTCAGACTTTTAATAGCCTCTCTGTGATCCTGAGCAAGCCACTTAACCTCTGTCTGCCTCAGTTTCCTCAATTATAAAACGAGGATAATAACATCAAGATTGTTGTGAGAATTCAATGAGATATTTGTAAAACATTTAGCACAGTGCCCAGGTTGTAGTAAGGGCTATGTAGAAATGCTTGACCCCTACTGTAGGTGGTGGAGACGGACTCAGGTTCCTAATGGTCAGTGAGCTCTAGGAAAAGATCCTCTATTCTCCTGACCTTACCAGGTTTCTACCATGCCAGATCAAACCCTTCCTTTAAGAACTTCAAATCACCTGTCTTCTCTGGGACTAAGCCAGTTTCACCTGCCAAGTTCCTCAAGTATGTCTGATAGCAAGGGAAGCTTGTACCTAGCTAACCCCACAGCTGAGCCCAGGTGACAGCTAAGCTTTCCTCACCCTCTTCTTAGCGGTGAGCAGCAGATCTGGGCAGCAGGTTACCAATCTCAAATGTAACTGCCAACTAGATAATTACATCATACACCTCACAGTAAAGTAGAGAATACATTGATTTTAAGATCAGGCACTGCCTTAGGACTTTATATATATCTTTAAACACAGACCGAGAGAGGTAGCTAGGTGGTACAGTGGATAGAGTGCCAGCCCTGAAGTCAGGAAGACTCATCTTCCTGAGTTCAAATCTGACCTCAGACACTTACTAGCTGGGTGACCCTGGGCAAGCCCCTTAAACCTGTCATCTGTAAAATGAGCTGGAGAAGGAAATGGCAAACTGCTCCAGTATCTTTGCCAAGAAAACCCCAAATGGGGCCATGAAGAATCAATCAGACCCAACTAAATGACTGAACAACAAAAAACAACTTGGTAAAATTTGGAAGAACCATAGATTGTAGAAACAGAACACTTAAAAATGTGTCTGTCCCTGGAAAAGTTGGCATTTCTGTGTCACCCACTAAAGAAACAAAGCTTGCACATTTTTGGCCAAAATGACTTGGCTAAATTAGCCAAAGAGTCAGATTCATTTTCAGCTACCCCAGTTCTCACTGCAGAAAAAAACCTCTATTTCAAGAGGGTGCCCAGGCCAGCCATCTCTTCATTGGTCACCAGGCTGTACCCTGGACTTCTCCATCATAGCCCCTTGCTCCAGGTTCTTCTGTGTCACCTATCCACGTTAGAAGTTCCTGGAAGGCAGTGATTGTCTTTTTGCTTCTTTGGATCACCACGAAGGTGGCTGTAGCAGGTGCTGTGAGGGTTTAGAGCTTGGGCACCTCTCAAACACCAAGGTCATCCACCGCTCTCTGGTTGTCTTGACATTTGTCTTGCCACTAGACTTGGATGACTCCAGAAAAGGGAGTGAGGCTGGTGTACAACTACGCCTCACTTAAATCCAATTCCCAAACAAAGGACGAACAACAACAGTTTATATCCCAATTGTTTAGCACAGTTCCTGGCACATAGAACACAATTAATAAATGCATGTCAGCTGACTCTGACAACTGAGTAAAAGAAAAATAGATCTACACAAAGAGAGGTTTAGTAATGAACAATATTAGAACGTAAAATTAAGAGAATGTAAAATAAAGACAAAAGGAATGCCATGATTTTCAAGGCTTGCTCCAGTTTAATCAATGAGTAAAAATAAAATTATTTAAAAGGAAAGTAGAAGTAGTTTTCATTGACAGGGTGTAGACCTGAAGCTTAATTCAAAGGCAAAGAGAAATGCATAAAGTTGCCCTTTAAAATACAGGGAAGGGGAAGGGAGGGAATGGGGAAAGAATCCACTAATGGAATTATGCATACAGTGGTATTGACTCATCTAAAACCCAGATAAAGAGCTTCAATTCTTTATTCTCCTGACCCCAGGGAAATTGAATTCAAGCAAGGACTCTTTATCACCTTTCAAAATCTTCAACCCCCAAAAACCAATTTAGAGAAACAGCAAAGGGAAAAAAAAAGAGCCCGGGGCTTGGAAAGTTTCAGTCTCACAGAGAACACCCCGGTACCCCTACTGGGGGAGTCAGGAACCCATCAAGAGACTTGTTTGTTTCTTCCTCAGGGATTTGGTGTTAGCCAATAAGCATTTATTTAGCACCTACTGTGCTAAACCTTGAGGAGACAAAAAGAAGCAGAAGACTGACCTCAAGGAGCTTACAATCTAATGGGGTAAACCACATGCAAACAAACATGTACAAACAAGCTACATACAAGATAAATAGGAAATAATTAAAAGAGGGAAGGTACTAGAATTAAGAGGGGTTAGAGAAGGCTTCCTGTAGAAGGTGGTGATGTAAAAGCAAACAGTATCCTAAAAGCTAAAAGCTTTTTAAAGAAACAAATTTTAATTAAGGATTGTTTTTCCAGCACTTGGTGAGGCCCTTCCTGAACTTGAGGGCATCCTAGAATCTCTCCCTTATCTTGAGATACCATAAAACTTCCCCCCCATCCTGGACCATAAAAATGCCTTGTCTCCCTCATGATGAGTCATAAAATTTCCCCAGTCTTCCTTATCCTGGGTCTCCTATCCTGTCATCCATCTTCCTCATCCTGTGTCATTGATGAGATTGGGATCTAGACCCCAGAAAGGAAAAACCCTGGACTTTCCCACTTGGTCAAATTTCTGGTATTTGCCTGAAGCTATAATCCCATCAACTGGCCTTTCATTGTGGCTACACCCAATCTCCAAATTCTGTTATCCTTAACTTAGTTTTGTCCTTCTTTGTTTTACCTCCCCATA